ACACTAGACTGGAGTGTCGAAACGTTGGGTCTTGATTACAATTCGACTGGGCTTTGTAATCATTTATTTAAACCAGAGTAGCGAGCGAAACATGAAATCTTTATATAGTTTGCATAACAATGGTCTTTTGTTAAAGTGTTCTTTAGCTGGTATAAAGACGTATTCAAGTGACTAATTTCTTACTCAAGATTGGATAATTGCTTCATGAATTATTAATGAGTTTTTGAAATACAGTTATATCAACACGAGTGGAAATTGGGAGAACGAGAAATTGTGTGGAAACACGACGCCCAAAGGGCGGAGTGTTTTCACACAATTTCGAGTTTTCCCAATTTCCACTCGTGTTGATATAACTATATATCAACACGGAAAAGATGTTTTATATTTGTTTTATAAAAAAGCACATGCAAAGAAATATAAAGAAAGAAATTTTCCAACGTTTCCGTGTGGACATTGAGTTATATCAACACGGCTCTTAGCCAATCAGCGTTCAGAATTTACAAATGCTATAATATAAACTTGCTTCGAATAAGAGAATTTCACATAATTATATGTTGGAAATTAAACATGCCAAGTGAACATTCATGCATTATTGATAATTCCTGTGGACTTTGTTTTAGTAACAAAACCATGCTGTGTGTAGCTTCTGTCGTATTTCTCCAACTTGTTTCAGATTTTACACTTTTAATATTTTAAAGTTAAAACAGTACTAGTGGTGTGACCTGCATGTGATAATTTGAAAATTAACCACTGGTCGTGAAACATCTTTATAATCAAACAATATTGGGTTAATTTGGGAGTATAGGATCAACCAGGTGCCTGGGTTGCTAGACCAGTGACGTCAATCAGGTATTTCTGCTTAGACCTGTTTACCAGGAAATGTAGGCCTATACAGGGTGTCCCAAAAAAATGTCCCTTGCCATATTTGGTGGTATTACTTCGCTATATTTAATTTTTTTGCAGTGGGTTGAAAAACAATCATATTATATTAATCGTAGTATTTATCTCACCAAAATACTTAACCGTTTGGCTTCTAGAGATACTTAAGGTGGCGACATCAATTTTGCAACCCGTCCAAATTACAGAAATTAGGTTAAAAATAATGCAAACTTTGTAGAAGGATTTCTAAAGTTTCTACCCACCTTTCTGCTCGAAAACAAAATGTATTTTATCTCTATTATTAAACTTTTGTTTCTTGTAGAAATTAACAAAAATAGATGGAAAAATCCCTGGCAAATTGACAAAGGCAAAGCTAAGGTTGGGAAAATGCCTTAAATTTGCTGTTTTCCATTCAATTTGTTCCATGAAAGAGCAAATGTGTTGGGATTTCAGCACTTGTCTTTCCCCTTTTCTGGGGATTGCTTCATTATTTTTACAGAAAATTAATTCGCGATTTTGGCTGCAACTAATTACAAGTTTTAGAAAAGATATGTAGCCATTTACCATTAAAATATTTTATTACGATCCGTAATATATTTAAACCTAATATCCACAATTTGGACAAGTGGCAATATTGGTATCGCCACCATAAGTAACTCTAGAAGGCGAACGGTCAAATATTTTTGTATATAAAAAATTGAATAATCGATTACAGGTAACGATGTAGTACCACAAAATATGATAGGGGACATTTTTTTGGGGACACCCTGTATAAGTATTTCTGCTTAGACCTGTTTACCATGCAGGAAATGTATAATACAGCACTAATAATATAACCTGCAGGAAATATTTATCAGATTTGTTTTAGAGAGTCCAACGTGCATGTTTAGTGCAAATTTATATCTTAAAACTTTAGTCAAAAAATTTTATAGTGATTGACCGATTGTGCAATGCAACTTGTATCAACATGCAATGTATGTTAATGTCGTTAAAACGTAACATGTATCAACGTGCAATGAATATAATTTTTGAAGTGTGTATTCTCTCAACAATCGGTTTTAGACCATCGGAAATATAGATAATTCTACCGATTCCGATTGTCTACCGATAAGGCAAAATGGGCCCGATACCGATTATCGGTCAATCACTGAAATTTTATACAGTATATATTTTAATAAAGTAATATATGAATAATATTTTATTTAGTATCGGAAAGCCATTCAAAGGACTTGATATACCATATGATTATAAACATGTTCTTAGTTTTACTGATGATCCAATTGAATTCAGGGTGAGTCATCAAGTGCATATGCATGCAAGAATTACTTTGCGCGCGAAAATGTTTTCACTAAAATGTCTTTTATCACGTTGTGTATAATATTTGAAAACATGACTATATCTTTTCACACAGTCAATCATGGCAAACACAAATCAAGGACTTTATATTAAATTGTTTATCTGCTGTACAATCAACTTCGTTTTAATGCAATAACATACATTTATCTATTAACATGTTATTTTTATTCCATTAGAAAATCTTGGTTTTTCATCAACATATATATATATATATATCTGTTTTTAATAACTTTAGGACAAGATTAATTTGCAAGTTAGTTCTGGTAATCGTGATGTGCCAGAAGGCACATTTGACGCATTGATGCAAGTTGCAGCCTGCGAACAGGTTTGTCCCAGCAAATGTGCTCTGTACTAAATGGCCGATTATATTTATTCCCCCCCCAGGGGGGGGGGGGGTTAAGGACAATGGAAAATCCAGGGGAGGGGTGTAAAAAAGCTTTGGAAATCAAGGGGAGGGCGAAAAAGAGCACATAAATCCAGGGGGTGGGGTGCATGATTAGAAACCAAAATCCAAGGGATGGTCTGCGATTGAAGCCATTTTCCAAGGCTATCTGGCAATGAATTTCTAGGAAATTCCAGGGGGTCACAATTTAGCTGGTAAAAGATGTCCTTAACCCCCCCCCCCTTGCACCCCCGTGCGAAAAATATATGGAATCTGCCAATTTGCTTGTGTTAGTATATGGGGCGCCGAATGTAAATTTAATTAATTTATTATTTAGCAAATATTGATATTTTTCATTATTTGTAAACTGATTATTTTAAACAAACAATTATTTATAATAAGTTTTATGTGAACAAATTATAATGCTGTTTGTTCAGAAAACAATGAGATTTGTTCTGTGAATGTGAAAAGCGAAATGGCTTGCGGAATGGCTGCGAATGCAAATTCCGCGACATTTTTTTCGTTACAAAGTTAAATTCCGCGACATTTCTCTGCCGTTCTTGTTTGATTGTTTATCAAATTGCGAAATACATTTATTGCGAGCGAGCTGAGAACATCCTATTAAATCCGGGCGTAGAAAATTTAAATATACCGCTGAGTTCGGATTAGCCCCGGCTCAAGATTCACCGATTCACCTCGGCTTGCATTCCATATTTGGAACATATTTCCATATTTGGAAGACCGCATGCTACAAACGGTCTTTCTGCTGCTGTCATACCGTCTAATGTTTTATTTATTGGTGCATTTTTATAGCGTTAACTTTTGTTCATCAAATTGTACATCAAATGAAGTTTAACTTAGCATCTTTAAATAGATTAAATGCTCTGATGATGTTGTGATGTATACAAAGAAACAAATATATTTTATTCTTTATTGTTGTCTGGTCACAGGTGGCCCAGGCTCTGTGTGTGTATTTGTTTATTTTTTATTTTGTTATATTTTGCATTAAAAATTTACTCTAAATGGGCGAACTTGGGCAAGACCTAAATTTCCACAAAACTCGCAGATAAAATATTGCCAAACGTCCCCAGGTCGCACTTTTTAACCTGTGGCTACTCCTAGTTTCAAGGGTAATTTTGTAACAATATCAAAAGGCATGCACATAGAAGTAATATTTAAACCCGTGTGTATTATGAACGTGGTCTATAGAGCTAACGAAACACAAGAAAGGTAGATGCAAACTATTTTACATTGCCGAATATGACTTGGGCACGAAACATACGAACGTTGCGACCAAATGATTGAAATGAAAACAGAAAACCCGGTTCAGTTGTTTGTGTAGGAACATTCACTCAAGAAGAATGCATGCACATCACTTATCAGTTATTAAATGTTATGCAATAATTATGAACCATGCAATACAGCATGATCATTTTGGTCTCAGCAAACACAACACGATGGTCATGCAACTAGGCGAATTTGTTCGCGTTTGTTTCGCATTTTCTAGTGGAAAATGGGCTTTAAGTCGGTTTTCCACTAGCGAATTTTTTCGCGCGAAGCGACCTTTTTCCTTTGTCAATATCCATTTTGCCACGTCTTGCTGACGTAATAAGTGATACCGACAAAGGGAAAAGGTCGCTTCGCGCGAAAAAAAATTCGAATTTTTCGCTAGTGGAAAACCGCCTTTTGTCCCCTCGATTAACTGCATGCGCGCGGTTATATATTCACGTTGATTGTATCAAAACTGCGTAGAGGACTGAGACTGACGTCGAATACCTTCTTCAAGTCCGCAATCTTTTGCTTCGCTTGTGACCGCATTTCTTTCTGAACTTCAGATACATTAGGATATACACATTGTGAGAGAAGCGATTAATGAAGCAATTATTGTAACATTTTCCAGGGTATCTTTTAAGAATTTGTCACTTAGAAAGTGCTGAACAGGAAAAGTGCGAACTTGTAGGGGTCTAGGAATCCATTCCAGAAAATCTGAAACTTTGATTTGAGCCTCTGGACCTTCGACTTGGACGGTTTACTGGAGAAGCCAACACAGGGGATGAAGGGAGGGGGGGGGGGGTGCCCCCCAGAATATATGTTTAAAGAGGCCCTTGCATTCTTTGTGTCATTTAATTTTTCACTGTAACTTTTGATCTCTGTGTGAATCAGTTCAGCAGTACCGAATATGTCGCGGTCGTTGCAACCACGTACATGGATTCAAACCCAAGGAGAACAAACCTATGAAACTCAAGCAATAGGCATCTGGTAAATCTTGTTTGTTTAAAAAAAGATGTAGCGAATATATGGGTATCCACCTGCGCACTCATGAATAGGTCAAAATTGAATGAGAAAAAGCCTATAACATTTCTGTTTAAAGCACCAAAGAATAATTTCAAGAAATCCTAATTATACTGCAGATATATAAATGCTTTATTCTAAAACGAACAAGATTTACCTGAAGTCTGTTGTTGGAGGTTTGAGTGAGATAAAGAGATAGATAAGATATGTATATAGAGTAAAGTTAGTTATGTTGTTATGTTATGTTATGTTATGTTATGTTATGTTATGTTATGTTATGTTATGTTATGTTATGTTATGTTATGTTATGTTATGTTGAGACAGTATTGAATATTTTACTTCAGTAGTTACCTGAAAAAATGTAAATTGCATTAATTGCTCCTAGCTTAATTAAATTTTAAACAGCCTTTAAACATTCTAACACATACACCCACCACTGTGCCTTGTACCATACAACAACTATGTCAAAATATTTTTGATACAATCTTATTTAGGAACTTAGATGGGGATCGAAAAATACGACACGACGTATTGTACTTATTGCAACTGATGGTACGTTTCATATGGCGGGAGAAGGCAGGGTAAGGTTGAATGTGTTCTGTAATAGCAATTGAGGTTTTCTTGTCAAAACATTCAATAGACCTTAGCGTAACAATATTGTGATTCAGTCACGATTCAGTGAGCGAAATGTTCCATTGTCTTTTCATTGTTTTGAAAATTCCATGTTAACCAAAGGAATTATTTTTCGTCTTTGTAGTCCCTAATCTAGTGCCCTCACATGTAAAAGCTCACGCCACGTTTACAGGTAACCGAACGTATCCGAACGCAGGTTTTGCCTATATACGAATTCCCGTGTGATTAAACTCGAAAACCTATACCCATATCCGTGTCTTGGAGCTGGGAAATGTGAATTTTATGTATCCACAGACAGACAGATGCAATCAATGTCATTTTATGAGAATTATATTCTCTTGTTTAGTTTGGTGGTATTGCCAAACCAAATGATGCCAAATGTCACCTTTCAAACACTGTCGTGAACGGTGGTCGTTTGTATGACAAGTCACTGGAGCTGGTAAGATGCACTGATATTCATATAAATCTGGATTGAATATCTCTTTTGTGAAAATGAAGAGGGTCCTGAAGGAGTAAAATGGGAACTGGGATTGATCTATTTTTAGACTGGGAAAATGGGATTTGGGTTGCTGGGACTGGGATTAGGCCACTGGGAATGGGAAATGAAGTCCTCAAAAATGGGAATGGGATTGAGGTAATGCGAGTCGATTCCCAATTTTCCTACGTTTTAAGTATTTTAAAATACAATTTTGATCTGTTTTTAGTGTCTTTGGTCATGATTTTTGTTGTGAACTATATTATTCACAGCACTACCTGCGAACAGGCATACTCTGGCGCCAGGAATTCTGGATTTTCTGATTATGCGTGTCTCAGAATGCTGCAAATGCCATTTCCGGGATTCAAATTTAAAAATTTTCCGTGCCTTTGGCACGAGCCCCCCCCCCCAATATTTCATAAAGTGTCCACCACTTGCATACACGGTGGCTTAAAAGGTCTTAAACTGTTTATTCTACCAATAAATAAAGGGGTTTTATTGACTGGTATTTCAATAACTCGGACTGGGATTTCTAATAAAAATCCAACTGGGACTGGGATTTTGCCAAAATTTCAAGTGGGAAATGGGATTGGGACCCCCCCTTCAGGACCCTCAATGAAGCTGGAAATCAGTTGTTACGTGGTGATCAACTTTCAAATTTAGCTTATGAGAACAAACAAGTAGTGCTATAAACACTTTCCCTACTTCAAAGAACGAAGCAATACAACACAATACGATACAGTACAGTACAGTATAGTACAGTACAGTATAGTACAGTACAGTACAATATAGGAGAAGAATACAACATATAATGTAGAAAATATCGCTGTTTTCATAATTGATGAGAATTACTTAATAAAGATACTTAAAAAAATGGGTCTAGGTCTTGAAAAAATACAGATGGCAGCTATTTTAAGGCGTTATCCATACCACCTCGCGATATAGCATGGAGTTACTCCCTACTTTGCAGTATATAGCTGCTTTAATCGGGGTTTTTATTTATCTTAGGATTACCCGACAATAAACCAGGTTTATCAAAGACTTCTAGAAAGTAGAATTTACCCTATATTTGCGATTTTTGACGACCAAAAGTCTGCCGAGGGGACCGAACCGGCCTACAAGGTAAGAATGTGTAACGAAGCGCAGCTCTATACAATTGATTCACTAAACCTTTTAATGTAGTTCCAATTAATTAAACAGACGTAGTACAATTGGACAAGTACAAATTTCGTAGGCCGCGTACTATCACTTGTGACAGTCGTCAACAACTCAACAAGTAAAAAATAACAATAAAAAACCTTTGCTTGCAGGTATATTTTTACTATAAATGAGTTAAAATTAATATAATAATTATTATGCATATAGGTGAAATATATCAAACAAAAAATATACCAAACAAAGTTTTATTAATAATGATAATACTTCTTGATTACTTTCACAAAACAATAGAGAGTATGAGCAAGACAATGATGTACGAAGCCTGCACAACGAAGTACGAAGACGCGTACTTGACAATTTTTGCCCGCCTGCGCATTATTTTGCGCATATATGAGTTTGGGGTCACTGGGGCTTGCTCACAATGTCTTCACGTTATAGATTCATGTCCTTGTAAATACCGACCCTAACAAAATAGCGAGACATGAGACTATATCCCGTCTTTGTTCTTCTGCCTTCGTTCAGAACGAAGTTCGCGACAAAATTTGCCAAAATATTCGTTCTGAACGAAGGCAGATCGGAAGTTGGGATATGGATTCATGTTTTGCGCTGTTTTGTGCTGGGCAAAGTAGGGATTAGGGTGAGCATTCAAAACAAATGGTTATGTTTAAACTTTAGGCCATCGTGGAGAACTGGGCTGCTGTAGGTGCCACTTTGGGAGAATTGGATAAGACCTCTAGCAACATCATCGATCTTATTCAGAAAAGCTACGATGTGAGTGAAATTGTTTTAGTGCTAGTGTATAGAGACGATAACAAACAGCTGTCGTGTCAAGGATATGCAACTACTTGAGAAATATTACGAGTATGTAGTTGTATACAGGGACGTAGCGAAGCGTCGGAAGTTGGGGGGGGGGGGGGGGGGGGGGGGGGGGTCGGAGGATTTTACCTGAAATTTGAACCTGAAAATGTCAAAACCTGAGTTTCACAGTTGGGGGCGGTTACACCCCCGGTCGCTACGTCCCTGGTTGTATATCGTCGACATCGCAGCTGTTTTTTTACTCTAAATAGTTTGCATGTATCAACAATTATTAACGGACGGTAGTATCACGTACTGGACACGTTATATATCTTATGTATTATATTTCTATATAAGCGTCCTGCCAGCGAACTTGCAAACCTCGTTCCCAGGTTGCGAGCTTGCAACAGTGAACTCCATGTCTTTTACTGGAACGATAATATGTGGAAGAAACGTGAAGCCAATGCCACTTCACGCGAGCACTAGCGTGCTGACGCGCATATAAGGAGACTGAAACTGACGTACTATATGGCGAGGAAATGGCGTGGAGGGCTGACGCCACTGCTCACGCGTTGCTCACGCGAG